TTCGTTCGTATCGATGTTATCCATATGTTTGCCATTCATCTCCTTCTCCAACAGCTGAGCGATGTTTGGCGACGATATCGAGCGCGAGAGGTTCGACGACACCGACAGACTGTTCGATGACTTATTCACGCCTTTATGTGTGGATGTGATTGAGTTCGACATCCGGTGGCCATTCATCACACCATTGGTTAAGTCGGTCTCAGTTGTGTTGTTGTCACCGCTGTCGTCGACCTTCATATAAATGGCATTTCGTTTATTTAAACCATTAGTCTCTCCATTGATAGCAATCACTGGCTTTTCATCGTTTGTATCTTTCAAATCATTGGACACCAGAGACGGCGGCTTTGCTTTGCGGATCGCTTCCATCAAATTCTTATTCTCTTTATTTTTATTATTCAATTCATTGTTTAGTAACTGAACCTTTCCATCGAAGTCTTCTCTCATACTTTCCATCATTTGTTCATTGATTTCATTTACTTTTCTGAGTTTGATTTTCTCCACGTCTTCCTTGTCTTCTATCTTCGGCTCATTAGAAGAGCTAATCTCCGGCTGTACTATAGGTTTTGTCGATCGATCGGGTATTAGTGGCTTCGCTGTGCCCGGAATGGCCACATTGGTTGGCCTCGTATTGAATATATGATTTACACGATTCGCTTGTTGTTCCGCATCTGATCCCTTCTGTGATTGTGTGGCCTCTTCTATATCTCCGTTCGTAAACCCATTGACCATTAAATTGTTGGGTGTTTTGGGTTTGTCTTCAAATTCACTCAAATCATAATTGAAACCCAAATTTAGGCTTTTGTTCGCATTTAATGGCAAACTCTTTGATATATATTTAGGATTCGATGTAAACATAGGATATGTGAGAACCCAATCAGCATATCCTCCCTTTAAGAGGAATGGCTTATTCTTCAGTTTTATCGACGAGTAGTCCCACTGAACACAAGAAACACAGATTAAATGAAAAACATGTCATTTAAATGTAAAACAAATCATACCTTCCAAAGCGCTTCCGCCAAATGAAAGGCAGGAGTGTTGGCAATGACTTCGTGGGAGTGGAGGTCAGCGATAATCACTTTAGACATACTTCTCCGTCTCCTAAACACATCCAAAGTGTTACCCAACGGCAGATCGGAATCCAGTTTAGA